AACATTAAAATTATATAAAAAATTATCAGAAAAAAATAAAAATAAAATTGCATTTAAGCGTAATTTATACATAGAATGACTGACTGCATTTGCACGATTTATGTAATAGCTAAAAGTGATACTAAAATCTTTATTTTATAAAAATTAAAATACATTCGAGTCAAAGTGAATAATGAACTTCAATATTGTAGTACATATGTACACTCGTATGAGATCATATGTGTATATATATATATATGATAGGTATGTGATATATGTATAAGTATAGTAAAAAGAAATTCATTATATTCCCAATAGATACAAATAGTTATCTGTATCTCGCATTGTTGAAGTCCGGTCAGGTTACGCTAGATGGCATTAGGAAGTTGAGACAGTTAGGTAGTTGATTGACTCAGTTTTGTTTGAGCGAACATCTAAGATGGACACTTGCAAAGAGAAAATACATCAAATATTACAGTTTTTGTTTAATAAAGACGAAAATGCAAGCCAGACAGAATAGGCTAAAAATATGAATAGTGTTTATGGTCCAGATACTGTAATCCGTTCCGTTTCCGGTAATTTCGATGTCAAAGACACACCACGCACTAGAAGACCAATGGTCGAAAATATTCATAAAATCATGAAAATTGTCAAGTTCGATCGTCGTATAAGTACTCGAGCACTTTCGATTGCTCCATGTGGAACTATTTGAGTATTGCCAAATACAAAAAGAAGCTCGATGGGTGCCACATGAGTTAACGCAATTAACCTCATGGACCAAATTTCTATCTGCGAATCGCTACTGATTTGCAACAAAATCGAACCATTTCTGAAGCGGTTGCCAAAGCAACTGGTGGCGAAAAGTAGATCACTTACAAAAACGACAACGTCAAGCGAAAACGGTTATCGTCGAATCGCAGTACCCCGGCTGAAATGGTGGCCAAGCTAAGATTGATGATCAGAAGGGTTTTATTGTGGGTTTGGTGGGATTGGCAAAGAATCATCTACTATGAGCTGCTCTTCTACGGCTAAACTTTTAACTCGAAATTGTACTGTTAACAATTGGAACGTCTTAAGAAAGCAATTGCCCAGAAACGGTGACTTACTCTCTCTTCGCTTCAAGAGAGGCTTGTGAAAATCGATTGTCTCAAAGAAAAGGTTCGACTTATGGAGACTTTGAGTTAAAGAATTTGTTTTTAATTCTATAAAATTTGCTCTCTAAACCCTGTTGCACTCTATTTAGTTCCAGTTATAGAAAATTCGAGTTATAGAAGTACTTTATTATATATGGGATATTTTTTAATTTTTAATTTTCAAATAATATATAAGTCTTTGTCATTATAAATTTTTTTTAAATTTTTTTCGCTCTTTTTTATTTTATTGTATTTTTATTTATTCACATATTAATGTTTTTTTTTTATATTGCTAATCTTTGTTTTAAATTAAAGGAAGAAATGCAATTTCAAATTAAAATAAAAGTTTTTAATTTCCATTTGAATTAAATGAAGTTTTGTCTGTGCTGGAACTTTAATTACTTCCTCCGTAATGAATGAGCTTTGAATGGAAATGACTGACGGAGTTCAAATGAGATTACGTGAGATATGAATCCTTTGTGCTTTGTATCTGACTTCGGCGTCTGTTGTGTTTGTAAATAAATTTTCATCTATAAGCTACTACCTTTGAATTGCATTGTTGTTGCATTGTAGTTATCTGCCTGCATTTACTCCACTTTGCGCTAGTGAAATGCATTACATTTTTCGCATGTCATGTCAGCTTGTCAACGCAGTTGTGCAATTCTCCTGACAACTGTTTTTAATGGAAAATCAATCAATCCAATTTCATCCATAGACATTTTTCTGTTATCGTTTATAGATTTCAACAGTATTTACCGATTAAAAACGATTATTGAATGCCGTTATTGTAAACATTATCAATATATTAATATCGTAATGATGTGTTTCCGCAAGAATTAAAAGAAATTTTTAAATTCCTTAATTATTGCCACATATAAATTAATTTTCTTTGTATTTTATTTTATTTTATTTCACTTTATTGACTTCTGTTTCCAATATTTACACATTGGGAATGAGTGTTTCCTTCTTCTTTGCAGTGGATTTGATGTGACACGATTATCTAAGAAGAAATGTAGTTCAGTGCAAAATGAAATGATGAAGAGGAAAAGAAAGCTTCCGTTTGAAATGCAAAAAGTAAATTAAATTTTAATTAAATATATATTAGCTCACCAAATAAGGAAGTTTTTTATAGCAAATTATAATTACAAGGTAATAAATTTTAATTAGAAAAATAAATTTGAGATATAATTATAATATCTTATGTTAAAGTTAGTTATGAAGATAGAAAACTGTTGACTAATAGATAATTATTAGTTAAATAGTAGTTAACCACAACAAAATAGTTTTATTTTATTTTAATTGAGTTTTTTGGCTGACAGTCTTTGGAAATACTCGTTGGTTTCATAAATCGGTAAACAACCATTCGACGACAAGCACACCCTTAACACTCTTCTTCGTCATGTCTTAGCTGGGTCTCCAGGCCGGTAGCCACATTGTGGATTCTAGCATAGGGATTGTTTTGTTATATAGGATACTGCTTTTCTAAGCATGTGGTTAATCCACTTCCATTTTCTTTTTCTGATTTCAGTAGCACTTGTATTTGTTTTGTGCGTTCCCATAAATCAGTATAGGATATGTGCTCCGGTCATCATATTTTCAGTAATCTTCCTAAGCATTTGTTTATGCATACTTGGATGCGCAATTGAATAGAAACCGTGTTTAGTGCTTAGTGCGAGTGCTTATTTGGTTAGATATTCACACTTTGTTTAAGTGCCCGAGTGCTGACTTGGTTTTACTTAGTCCAGTCGAAACGTCTTCTTCAGCACCACTTTTATCCGTGATAATGCTGCCCAAATATGTAATTAATTTTACCTGCACAACGGCATCATCACTAATTCTGATGAATGTAGGATCCGGAATAGTGTAGCTGCTGCACATTACTTTTGTTTTTTCGTGGCTTATGTACAGGCCGGCATTGAATGCACAGGAAGTAAGCGTGTCAATTTTGTTCTATAACTCCCAATTTTTATTATTTAGGAGACAGAAATCGATTGCATACTCAACATCGCTAAGTTTGCTTAAGGGTGTCCATTGTATTCCGGTACTATCGCTTCGTGCAGAACGTATGATGTCATTGAATGCCAATATAAAGAGCTTTAGGGGCAATATATAATATATTTTTATTAACCCCAAAGGGTTTGGATAACATTCCACCATGGTTAGCACTACATTACGAGAATTCGTTGTACAATATTTTTATAATGTTTAAAATTTTAACAGGAACACCTCGTCTTGTGAGGGTATTCCATAGGAACTCTATGCAAGCTATCAAAAGCATTTCTGAAGTCAATGAAAATATTGTAAACTGATGTCCTGAACTTGAAATAAGGAAAATGTTAATTAGATCAATACAGTCACGGTTTGGCCGATTATTTTTCTCGTAGATTATCGTCAACTGTACCTAAATGATTAAATTAATTACTATAGTTAATAAATATTTTATGTATACTGAACTGTGGTGATATCGGCATGATAAATACACCTCTACTCTTATGGTTAAATTTTATTTATTTTATTTATTTACAACATTTTGTGTAATGATTAGTCATCATGAAGTCAATAACTGCAGCCAGAATAGCATTGTTAAACACGGTGTTTTGCGTAACTTGTCAAAAAAGTATCCGTGGTAAGAAATCGAATCATATTGATTGCCAATTCATATAATCTATATCAAAACTATAATAAGATCTGTTGTATGGTTTGTGGCATCATATTGTTACATTCACATATCTCTCACATTCATAACTTTACTTACACGCAAATAAATGTTAATCAAGTGGCTCTTGCAACCGAAATTGATGAATTTTTATTACAAAATATATTTATAGTATTTTTGTAGGTTTATTCCACGATCTCCTTTCAAATAATACTAAATCTTGCGAAGGAAGTGTTGTGTGTGCTAAAATGCGCTTATGAAGCAACTTTCTTTTTATACGTAAAATATATATTATTTAAAAAGTATTTAATTTCAAATGTATTATTTATTTAATAGTGCACACACACATTTTATTTAAGACTGAGACTCTTATAGCGTGGCTAAAGAATAAATTTAGTAAAGTGCAATCGTATTGCAATCGGATTGCCGCCGCATAAACGCATTCTAATTTTTCCAATTTTATATTTGAAATACAATATTTCTACGCTTGAATTGTTGTGCAAATAGTGCATTACATTTCTTCAACATAAATTTATGCAAGATACACACATGAAGCTGACAGATGAAATATATATCTTTCCGCCGCATGGCTGGCATCTTCTCATACTTGAACTTGCCTTGCTGTGGTGCATAGCTTTTACTCATGCACAATTTCACGCACTAAGATTTTTAGATTTTTTGTATCGGACAAGTAAAGACAGACTTTTGAATTGAAATAGCATTGCTTCAAAGTAGTGCAGATTTTATGAAAAAAACTTAATACTTTTTCATTTTTTGAGTAATTTTCTTTTTATATTTTTTATTTATTTTCATTTATTCGCTTCTCACACTGGAGAATAGTTTCGTTTGTGGAACTAAAACTATTGTCTTGAGATTTTCACACTCAGATAACGCAAATAAAATTTGTTGAATTGACTTAAGTTTCAAGAAAAGTTCAGAAAAAATAAAATTTTCTCAAAAAAAAAACAGAAAGAAAAGATTATAAAATTTGTATCTATGAAATTTATGCAAAGAGACAAACGTGCACGTTCACTCGTTTAAATGCTGTTAAAACGCACTTTACTGCATGTAGAGATTTTGCTCTTTTCTCTCACTAATAGTTTTAAGTTTTATTTTTTTAATTTAGTTTTAAAAGTTTGCATCAATTTAAGCTACTTTTAAACTTGTGTTGAAAACTTTATTAATTCGAATTTATTTTTTTTAACTCATTTTTTTCTATTTTCTTCTTGCAGACTAAAAATGAAAACTTTAAGTTGCTGAAACCAACGTAAGGTAAGTTAAGTTCAGCTCACTTCAGTTCACTTTTGTTTTAAAATTTATCTATACTTACATATCTTTCCTTTATTTTATCAATTTTTTTTTTGATATTTTGTAATGATTTTAATTTTATATTAAAATCATAATCATTACGAAATATCTGCGAATCAGCAGAGTGTGCAGTTATTTGTTAAACAGCTTTTTGCTGAAGCTACTGCTACTGTATCTCAACAAACTTCGAAGCGATTGTTTTTTGCCCTCTATCTTGTGCAACATAACAACGAAATGTGACATGTTGCAAGCCAGTTCCCAACTAACTAGAAATAATCGTAAAAATAAATCGAACTCCACAAATGTAAACAAAAAAATGCACGAGCAATAATAATAAAAAAGTCAGATATTTTTATTTTCCCTTCTAGTTTATGCAGATTTTCTACACTATTTCTTCAGCTAAAAAAATGATTCTTTTTTATAAAAAAAAGCCGAAACTCGCTGTTTGCTGAGCTCAGAAATACGTTCCGTACGCGCTGCATATGTGCTTTTGTTGCATTTGCTGCATATGTGCATTTGCTGCTTGCATTTGCTGTGCTTGCCTCTTGTTTATTTATTGTGCCGCGGTTAAGCAGTTTTTATTTGTTGCAGCTTTTGCTGCAACTGCGCTACTTTGGCAGTTAATTTATTTTTCGTTTGTTTAACGCAAATATTTTTTTCTTATCAAATAGATATTTACATATTTTGTGCTTTTTATTGCAAGTCTAAATATGAAATTGCAATTTATTAGCAATTTTTGTGCATTACGTAGTTTGATGTATGGAAAATGCTCTTCATAAATGCTGTAGTGTAGTTATTTGTTGCTTTAATAGTAATAAAAGAAAAACATATGTAGTATGTGTAACTAAAATCGACCTTAACTACATATTTAAAAGCGGAAAATTAATGAGTTTATTATATGCTTCATTAAATTGAACATTTTTATATTGCAATAATTATTTAAGAAATATAAAAAATTAAATTATCTTAAGTTTAAATTCGTAAAGACTTGTGGTTTTATTATCTTTTCTTCGCAATTGCCGACGTTTCGAATTTTTTTTGTTTTTCAATTTCACCTTAGGGCTTCAAAGTTAAACTTTGAGTTTTTTTATCTTTGAGAATTTATATATACTTTGTTTACAAAGGCTTTACAAATTATAAATATAAGCAAAAACTGTGAACTTCAAAACATTTACAAATATTTTTTTAAAGTTTTTTATTCAATACTTGTTTGATTTTTGTTTTTTACATATTTATACATAATATAAAATCTTCTTATCATTTTATGTACATATTTTGTACATATTTTATTATAATATTATATCGAATCTGCAAGAATAAAAATTTTGTTTCAAAGTAATCAGTGAAGAAACCAAGCATTCAACATTAAATATACAAATATATAATATAATTTTATATAAAATAAGATATATATACAATAAATAATAATATATAATATATATCGTAAATAAATAAATAAATATTTGTCGGCAATATGTATATATACATTTATTATTATTATTATTATAAATATATAAATATATTTATTATTATAAATATATAAATATATTTATTATTATTAATATATATATTTTATTTTATATAAAAAAATATATTATATATTTTTATATTTTTTGTTAAATATTTGGTATTTATTGATTCCACTAAAATAGAGTTCTTATTTTTTCGAATTCGGTTTAATTCTGCAGAATTCAAATCATTGACTGATTGACGATATATAACAAATAATGTTTATATATATATATAATATATTTAGCTTTCATTATTTTTGACGTCCATTATATTAATTATTAATATTTCAGTTTTAAATTTTTGTTTTCGTTATTGTTAGCTGGCACTTTGCCTTTCATATATTGCCATTTTCAAAGATACTTTTTATTGTTTTTAACTGTAATAAATTAATTTTTTTTACTACGAGTAACAATATGTTTCTATTGAATCTAACGATAACACTTTTAGAATCTTAAAAACTGATAACATTATATTACAAATTATTTTATAAATGTACATACTACAATGAAATATAAAAATCATTTGTAAATAATTTTAAGGAGTCTCTGTATAGGTACCCATGATTTATATACTAGATATCACGACGCGTAAGTTGAAGTGACCAGGATAATCTTTAGGAAATCAGAAAGGCAGGTCTAACCGGCAGATTGACATGATTTTCCAGTTTTAAAACATATTTTTGTCTTATTCTCTCGAACTCCACTTTAATCATCGATATTTCTAAATCAATATATATGCTTTCGTTGCTAGTATACCAGGGTGCACCAGTTATCATCCTTAGAATCTCAGCTTAAGCTCCTTACAGAATTTGTGTGCTTGACTAACAGTCATTGCTATATATCTGTTAGCCATATTGCAAATCCTGACTGGCTTAATGACTTGGTTGTATAGCAAGACTTTATACTCAAAATATAAGGGAGATTAACGCCCGATTAGGTTGCGCTTCATTTAAGTTCTTATTGTGTCGATGTCTTTCTACCAAGTCAGCAAGCCTTTGTCAAGGTGAATACCAAGGTACGTCTCTGTTTGTATGTGGTACTACAAGTCCGTTGAGAGTGATAGTTGATGGGGAGGATCTGTAAAGAGAAAATGTTATATGATAACTTTTTTGTTTATTGAATTTAATTTGCCATAGTGATAATCACCTTTATACAAAAATCTTTCTACTTCTTTCTGCAAATGATTTTGCAATTGACTGGAAGCGATTGTGGCATTTTTAATCGGCACAAAATAGGTGTATTGTCGGCAAATGTTAACAAACAACAAATTAATTAATAAATAATTTATAAATTAAATTCTTTACTGTAATTTTCAAAATTCTTCATTTTTATACCAAACAACAGATCAAGAGTCTTACTAAAACAATAATAAAATTGTGCTTTGTTCAGCAAATAAGCTTCATAGGTAATTTCCAATGATAAATACTTGAAGGTAAAAGTAAATAATTTAAAATTATTTATTATCATTTATACATAAAATAAACTATTGAATAAATAAATTTTATATCGTAATCCCTAGAATTCTTGAAAATTATTCTCCCTTAATCCTACGTTAAGGGAAGTAATAATGTTCATGTCAAAATCAAGTTTCGGTAAAATTGTGTTTGAACTCAAATAAATTAATATTAGTAATATAATAATGGATTTGTATCTATAACCACACTGTCATCTCGTTCAACTTACCAGAAAGTATAATAAAATTTTGTTATGACTTAAATTAACTGTCAGCAATTTTAAATTTGCTGATTTATGAATTTTGTGTTTTCGTGACAATTCTAAAGAGCAATTGCATTAAGTAAAGTGTCAGAATCATTTTGCAATGAACTTTAAATATAGTTTTATAGACGTACGTTTAAATATATATAATTTTTGCTCTGCAGAAGTGAGTTTCTGACTCATTCTCGGCTTTACTTTTCTTTATGACATATTAGTTTCAGTTGAGAAGCGGCGCATTTAAAGTCTCAAAATCATCAAGAAATGTCAACGTGAATCTGCATACGGATTTGCATTTATTTTCATAATTTCCTATGCAATTTTTATTTATTTTTGAAATTCGCATATAGGCAAGCATTAGCAGGAAAAACAAATATCTTTTCCTACAGCAAATGCGAATTTGCCTTGTAATTTTGGCGTGGCTGCTCTTTAATGGCTTTGGGAGCAGGAAGGTGCTAACTTTTGCATGCCTCAGGACCGTTCAAATTTGGCTCTTTGCCATTGACTTGTTTACCGGTGTTGTCATTTTATTGCTATTTATTATTTATTTAAGATATTTTTTTACTTTTTCAGTTATTCAGTTTTTCCTGTCTTGGCTCATAAATTTATTTTGCACACTTTTTTGTATGCGAAAAGTTAAAATATGTTTTAGGTGAAGTTTTTACTACAACTTCATATCGATCGTAAAATCATGCTCGAATGAAAAAAAGTATTTATTTATTTTGAAAATTAAAACCTCAGAAAACAATTGTTTTTACCATTTTTCTTTTTTATTTGTAATATTTTATTAATAATTTGTTCCGTAGAAATCAGTAAAAATCTTATAAATCCTATATTTTTTTTTTGTGGATTCAAAACGTCTTTTTCTTTAGCTAATTGAGGAGGACTCGTCCTTCTTCCACCACAACTAACTAACTAAATCCTATAAAAATAAAACTTATAAAAGTAAATAAAATAAAAGTATCTTGTGAATTATTAACTCAAATTTAATCACAAGCCAGACATACATTAAGACTGAAAAGTTTTCGGAAATTCTCATTTAAAATTCGCGCGCTGTATATTTTTCGATATTTTAAGTTTATGTAGTTTGGCAGCACTGTCCTTAATTACTATGCCAAAAATGAGCGCGATCTGTCAGACAGTTCGTTTACGGCAGCTGTTGAAACCAGTTCACCTCAGTAGTGCGTTGCGAAATGTCTTCGACGGTCGTACGACCGTCCTGGAAGGCTTTGTACCACTCATAAACTTGAGTTTTCGATAAAACTGATTCCCCATAAGCCTTTTGTAGCATTCGCAACGATTCTGCACACGAAATTTCGTTCGAAACACAAAATTTGATGCAAACTCTTTGTTCAATATTTTTTTCCATTGTTTTTTTCGCAACGCCCTACTGAGGTGAACTGGTTTCAACAGCTGCCGTAAACGAACTGTCTGACAGATCGCGCTCATTTTTGTCATATTAATTGTCCTTAATTGCTGCCAAACTACATAAACTTAAAATATCGAAAAATATACAGCGCGCGAATTTTAAATGAGAATTTCCGAAAACTTTTCGGTCTTAATGTAATTTAACATATATAATATATATAATTCAATATAATAATTTAATTCTACATCAGTCAATTGCTTTGCTCGCTACCATGTTTTTGTTCATGCACCTGTTGGGTAGCTGTTCTGCGGACTCTATCAGAATACTTGTCTAGTTATGTTGTTTAGAGATCCAATATACCACCATTTACG